CATTAAGACATGTCTCATTTACAAGAGAGACCTGTGACACATATACTACCTCAGTTACACAAAGATCAAACATCATGTTACAATTTTAAAAAAAGCAGAGTTAAACAACCAAAGAACATAAGCTGACTTGAAATGACGATTTTGCCATTTTGCCATTTATATTAGCTCAGGAGCTATTGTTTTTTTATTAGTTTTGTAGCTAATACACTATGAGTTGTGTCCTCCAAAGGCCAAATTTGATGGCCACTGGTGTCACAGCAACACGCCGGAGGCTGTCCAAATTGGAAGAGTCCTTCAATGTGGCCGACAAATGCGTCCTCCTTTTTCCTAAATTTGAGGGACAGGTTGGATGGATCCTTCTCTGCCCAGCCTATCCCATGATGCATTTCAGACTGACTGGACATATACACAGTACAGACCAAAAGTTTGGACACATTCTCATTCAAAGAGTTTTCTTTATTTTCATGACTATGAAAATTGTAGATTCACACTGAAGGCATCAAGACTATGAATTAACACATGTGGAATTATATACTTAACAAAAAAAATGAAATTATGTCATATTCTAGGTTCTTCAAAGTAGCCAACTTTTGCTTTGATTACTGCTTTGCACACTCTTGGCATTTTCTTTATGATCTTCAAGAGGTAGTCACCTGAAATGGTTTTCACCTCTCAGGTGTGCCCTGTCAGGTTTAATAAGTGGGATTTTTTGTCTTATAAATGGGGTTGGAACCATCAATTTCGCTATACAAAAGGTGGATACAGTACACAGCTGACAGTCCTAATTAATGGACTGTTATGGCAAGAAAAATACAGCTAAGTAAAGAAAAAATGAGTGGCCATCATTACTTTAAGAAATGAAGGTCTGTCAGTCTTAAAAATTGGGAAAACTTTGAAATTATCCCCAAGTGCAGTCACAAAAACCATCAAGCACTACAAAAAAACTGGCTCACTTGAGGACCGCCCCAGGAAAGGAAGACCAAGAGTCACCTCTGCTGCAGACGATAAGTTCATCTGTCACCAGCCTCAGACATGTCAGGTTAACAGCAGCTCAGATTAGAGAACAGGTTATCAGAAATGTCAGGTTAACAGCAGCTCAGATTAGAGAACATGTCATCAGAAATGTCAGGTTAACAGCAGCTCAGATTAGAGAACAGGTCAGGTTAACAGCAGCTCAGATTAGAGATCAGGTCAGGTTAACAGCAGCTCAGATTAGAGAACAGGTCATCAGAAATGTCAGGTTAACAGCAGCTCAGATTGGAGAGCAGGTCAATACCACACAGAGTTCTAGCAACAGACACATCTCCAGAACAACTCTTAGGTGGAGACTGTGTGAATCAGGCCTTCATGGTAAAATAGCTGCTAGGAAACCTCTGCTAAGGACAGTTAACAAGCAGAAGAGACTTGTTTGGGCTAAAGAACACGATGAATGGACATTAGACCAGTGGAAATCTGTGCTTTGGTCTGATGAGTCCAAATTTGAGGTCGTTGGTTCTAACCACCGTGTCTTTGTGTGTCACAGAAAAGGTTAACAAATGGA